AAAAGAATATCTTTATATTTAATTCATTGGGACATTTATTTCATAATACCAAGTTCTTCGTTTTTAAATTTATATTAATGCTGAAGATATGTTGTATTTAAAAATTTACTTTGATATTATTTTAATATGAAATATAAGGCTTATGTAGTTTCGTGTGCGCACGATAATGCGCAATTTTCTGTAAAGGCAGCCAGTTCATTTGCCAATAGGTCGCTTGAAAATTCTGTTAGATCGAAACTGACCAATACGTGGATTAAATGCTATTCATTGTATGGGAAGAAGATTTTCAGCAATTATTTTGCAATACTGTCGTTAAGCATTAATTATCTTTGCAAATTATTGGTAAATATACATAATGCCAGCAGTAGGCGAAATTTTCAACTATTTTTTCAACGATACTAGAATTTGTGAATCAAGACAGAGTAGGAAACGAAAAAAAATGTTGAATATTTGGCTTAGTTGCCCACTTGGACTTTCATTTGGGGCACTTTAGTATAACAATTTTTTTGGAAGGATATTACAAATGTCGTTTTATAGATAACAGAAATATCTATTCTCGCTCAGAATGTTTATATGATCTGTTTGGTAAAATGATCAAAAGAACCGTCATGTTCCTTATAACAAGGATGGCGTCATCCGAATCTGTTCACGTAGTTTTATCGAAGCAATGAATTTATTAAAATACAGCAAATGTATTATACACAATAAGTTAAAGTGAAATAAGTTTGACAGAATTAGTTAGTTTGCATATCATTGTTTGTACTGCTGATTATTCGTTGAAAAAAATTAGGAAAATCAGGGCGCAGTGCGTTGTGCTAACAGTCAAACATTGAGGTAGTTTTGCGCTGGTGTATTGGAGAGGTAGTATCAATAAACCTCTATATTTTTCACGAAGAAAGATCAACGAAGAATAAAAAGGAGTTAAGTATCAAGGCTGATATATAAATGACATCCATATAATAAATACAACATTATACGGGCAAGTTGAAAAATTACAGGTTTTTGAAAAAACCGGAACGTACTTGTATGAAATTTAAGGGCTGTGTTTTGCATAAAAAACCTCCATTATATTGGAGTTTATACAAGAAAATAAATTTAAAGGACGTGATACAAAGAATTCTCTTTACGAAATGGTTGTCACATCGTTTTTTCGTATTAAAGTTCAACCTAAAAATTTCGGAGTCTTCGAGGTTATGTTTTATTGAAACATGAATTTCTTATACTAATAAGCAAAGCAAATCATCAGAAAAACAAAAACAAACTGGATGTAAGTTAAAAGTAAAAACAAATATTTCTATTATGCATTAAGTTTCGTATTAATAGGTAATATATTAATATAGGTTTTGTATATTTTATTTTGAGAAGTAGATCTTGATGATTATATTTAATTTTGCTTCATTAGTTTATTCATTTGTAATTTTAATCTGTTAAATATTGAGTAGCTCTATAATTTTACACATTAGAGTTATATATTAGAATTTTTAAAGTATACTTAATAATGTAACATTTCTATTTATGTGTAATAATATGACATTTCATGTTATTATATTGTACATATTATATACACTTATAATGTTGCATGTCTGTTAAATATCATTTATACAATATTGTTAATGTAAAATTATCTTAATTTTAATTATTTTACATTATTTAACATGTACTTTAAGTACTTTAAGTACTTATACTTTTTTATATTTTTATACTTTTTATACCTTTTTAATATAATTTTCATGTGGTGCAACTCGTATCAATAAATTTTATTTATAGCAACTTACATGAGTGGATAATGCTCGGAGGCAATGAACGGAATGGAGAGACATGGGCATGGACATGGACATTCACATGCACACTCGCATCGTCATCGTTATTCACATGCAAATTTACAAAGTGCATCTCAAAATTCAAGTCAGTCGTCGAAACATAGCCACATCCATACACCACATTCGCAAAAAGATACATCTGCTGTTCAAACGTCTCAAAAACCAAGAAATTATAAGTTACTAGTTGATCCATTTTTGGTAAAGGGTGCAACAAAGTTATATAGATATGATGGCATGGTTCCGGGAGATCCAACTTATCCTGAAGTTCAACCTCGAGACCCCAGATCACAGTTAACTAGAATTTGGACTCGTTTAGAGCAACTTGACTTACCTGTACCTAGATTTAAAATTGATTCCAATTATTGTGGTGAACCTCCTCCACTTGAAGTGACATTTTGCCATTTAAATGACAATATTGATAAAACTTTTTTATCAGATATGGTTCAAAAATTTGGAGCTGTAGAAGAACTCATTGTGTATTATCATCCTGTAACTAACAAGCATCTTGGAATTGCAAGAGTGGTGTTTGAAAGTACGAAAGCTTCAAAAGCTTGTGTAGAAAAATTAAATAATACATCTGTGATGGGTAAAGTGTTAAGAGTATTTCTTGATGCATTTGGGGAAGAGTGTAAAAAAATTTATGATGAATTAACCACAGAAAAAAAAGTAGAAAAGAAAGTTGAAAAAGAAATAAAATCTGAAGGTGAGCAAGAAAAACAAACACCAATTGAAAAAAATATTAATGAAGAAAGGGATGATTTCAGAACTAACAAAAAATTGGTATCAAATATAGAAAAATCAAGAGATACATACATAGAAAACTCAAGATATAACAAATATAGAGATTACCCTACTCCTAGTGGCAGTGCAGGAAGTGATTTAGGCTATGGTACTGCACCCAGTGAACTAAATTATTCTAGTAATTACTCGCAAAATTCTACTCCTGCCACAAACTATGATTTCTATTATAGTGGTTATCATCATCAACCTCCAAATAATTATTTAGCAAATATGCCACAAAATGTATCACAAAATCTTTCAATGCAACAAAATTCAAGTATGTGGTGGGGAAATAATACAGGGGCAACAAGTTATGCATCATCTTCTATGTGGCCTGTTCAGCATGGAACAAATTTAGACAATTCTAATTCTAATGTAGTTCCAATTTCCAAGGCTTCTAATGTAAAAATGCATCACACACCTAAAAAAGAAAAAGAAAATCAAAATGCTACAAAAAATGCATCACGAGATTCACCAGTGGAGACTCGTAAAACATTAGATTTGGATACTAGAATTGCTATGTTATTAAAAGATAAGGCAGGAGGAATGGCACCACCTTTCTTACAGTTTGGTAGTGATTCTGAAGATGAAAAGAAGTCTGTCAATGCAGATAACGAAATGCTTTCAGAACCACCAAGCCCTTTTCTATCTCATGAAACATACAAGTCTTGTTTTGAAAAAATGAGAGAAAGGAATAAAGAACGATGGAAAGTACATGAGAATAGCATCAATCAATTTTCTGTTGATGAAGATTTAGGTAGTGTTATAAGTTCAAGTGAAGATGAAGCATTATTGGGAAGTTATAGTCCTGCACCAGATGAAATTGAACCAGAACCACCAAAAGAACCACCACCTCCACCTCCACCTGATGACGATAGAATGTCATTAAGTCCATTAAGTTCAGGAGATGAGAAAATTGAAGAGGTACTTACAGTATTAAATAATAAATTAATATAACTATGTATTCACTTATTTATTTATTTATTTTACGATTTCAATGTATAGGTTATAGCTCAAACAGAACCTACAAGTCAGTTATATCCAGGAGCTGGTTATCCTGGACATTTAACCCATTATCCCACCAGTGATATGTACCATTGGCCACGACCAGCACAATACCCATACCCTTATGGAACAACATACTTACAAAGTCATTATCAACCAAACACTACGTCATTTTCTGGAGCAGTAGGAAATCATCAAGGAGCAAATTATTATCCATCTTTCCAATCAAGACTTCATGCTATGGCAAATCACAATATTACAAAAGATAATCCACA